CGTATATCTTCAAAAGAACGGGTATTCATTGAAATTTCGAACAAATATACTATACAAGTGAGTGATCAGACTGGCGCTATAGCTGCCCAATTACTGTGAGTGGCTAAAGCGTTGAAGTTATGTCTTGAACAGAAATAAATCATACGTGGTGAAGGCAAAACGTGGCTCCGTTTCTACGTAGCGGGACACGCAAGCTCATACCAAACAAAGGAAGTATTTTATGCACTGAAAAAGTGCATTAAAATGCTGTCAAGTTTGACTTTACAATAACATGAAGGAGGGAGCTTGACAACCGATGGATACGCTAGTCACACGTAAGAACTAAGCTATAACCATATTCTTTGTGTAAGCATAAGCGTAAATCTGAAAAAACTTGTGTTGATTACATCTATACACATAAAGACCGACTATCTTCTCACTACTCACAATTCATTCTGTTGAGGTGTGCACTGTCGATTTACGGTCAACAAAGCAAACTGTGATTTTCAACGGACAAATGACAAGACAGCGAGGACGCGGCAGGGTGTAAACGGTTCACGTGCAGTTTGATAATTCTGTAACTACCTTGAGTGTATATCCTCGATATCATTAAGATCAGGGAAAGATTCAAGGCTGAAGAATAGAACACGACCATTAAGTCCGTAGGAAGACAAAATCAATACACTTTCCAAGACTAATTCAATACACTTTCAATTTCCCTTCGACATGACACACTGTGTCCATCTTTATATCCGAAATTGTACTATTTTATGTACAGTTTAAAACTACTAAGTTTCTGGTGTTGACATAATCATTTAAAATGAAATGTAAGATGCACCAAGCTAGTATAAACATCGTCATATGGAAGTGTCAATTTAATTCAATGGCATCTTTCAATTACAGCGTAAAAGATAGAGCGAAGTATTGCTGTTTTAGAGTTGTGTTTTATACAAATTAAGCTCGAAATCAACCGTTTTCCACATTCAAAGACACTTCTAACGTATGTGAAATAGGACCGGTACAGAAGACGTGCTCCTAAGATATGATTGATCGAGTTGAATGTACCATAGCTTCACGATACTTTTTCGAATCATTCTCTTTACTGTATCATTGTCTTTGACATTTAGTTGCAGCTTTAAAACTTTGTTTACACTTTCGTTTGTCATTGCTAACGGAATATCCATTACGTTTCTTTTGTTACTACGATACTTCATTTCACTTTTTATTATGTAAAATATGTAGAAGTTAAAATAGCATCTCAAATAAAGGGCGGACGATACCAAATATAGATTGTTTTCATATTAGATGTAAAAAAACTCTCATTAACATGTTGATGCTATACATTAAAATTGCTTTATACATTAGCACACTGTGTGAGTGGTTTATTATGCGCACGCCTACATTGTAGGATCTTAGCTTTTGGTGGTTGAGCCACTATTATCAGCGCGTTGATATTTTTTTGAGAAAATAGAGAAAACCGGTTAACCTTGTTCGAGTATTTTGAATTATGTAAAAGACGAAGAAGTTTTTAATAATAAATCGTAAAATACAGTACGCTTTCAAATGTAAAGAAAAGATTAAATGAAATCATAAAATATCGGGGTAAAAACAGTAGTGAGGACAGACTTCCGCGTGTTAGTAAGTCTCATCGTGAAATTCAAACCACATATTGTAAAACGAAGAAGTTGGTCAAGGGTCTTATCTAGCCTTCAATCAAGATAGTCGAAGAAACTTTCCATCCGGTATGGGCATGTGAAATCGTGGGATTTGACACAGACAGATAGATATCACCCTTCTAAAACCTTTAGCTACATTTCACAAAAGCATTTTGCTAATCCGTGTCAAATTTATCAGCTCCGCTTGTGTCCGTTGCGGGTGATCACTAAACAAGATTAAAACAATGTTGGCCTGAATGAATCGTTGCATCCATGATCGATTTTACTGCGATGCAGTACTTTTATATCAGCCGGCACGATCGATTCGGTTGGCAAGCATAAGAAAAGTGATGATATCTACATATTTTATTGAAATTTTTCTCACCATGACAGATTTACAGGTGCGATCTTAAACGCAGTTATAAGCGTGCTTTTTGGTTGTTACAAATATTGCAAGATGTAGAAGATTTACGTCACTCTGAATCAAAACATATCAAATTCGACGTATAATGCTTGTCGTAAAGCAGTATATTTTCTACTTAAAAGTTGCTGAAGATCAACTAGGTTCTTACCCTTCGTATTTCTTTGTATGACGTATGGCGGTCTACATAGCGATATATATATCGAAAATAGAAGTGGTAGTTTCAGAAATGAGAAGACTTGCGGTGCAAAAGCCAGTGCCGATGATATACGATATTACAACTGAAGCTCATGCAAGAATCCGCACCAATGTTCGTACAGTTCCTTATTTCATTCAGTGCTGGCGATCGAAATAATGTTGCATACGCTTATGAAAATCACAACATATGTTAATACGCCAATACATCAGAATTGTCGTATGTCAGCTTATATATTCTCTTCTTTGCTGGTAGCCAAGAATATATGATGTATTTTGGTTGCTAGCACAGTACCGGTCTCACTGTGATAGCAAACGAGTAACAGCATGTAATATGAGTGTATACAATATTTACACGATATTGTAGTCCAAGCACTGTAGGGTGTATGTCTGTTGATATTGCGGCGCGCTTGGACAGGGGCTCGCCCTACTACCTTAATATGCCTGATTATGTGTCTTGTCTTTTTGTCAAATGAATGGACCGGGCAAGTGATGATGCGTGCCTGTGTTAGTATGAGGATGGCAAATATGCTTATATTTATCGGTCTGTAGATGAAATATAAGGCCAAGTCAGACCGAATCAAATATTTTGTGGTGATATTCTGTGTCATTTAAACACAGAATAGCACTTGCTGACGCAGTGCGAAAAACATGCCACACCGTCGGCAACTGTTTATATGCTTAATTGGGTTCTGATTACCTTTAATCATGCGTGACTCATGATTATTGATGCGCCCATTGAGTTACGGTTTCGACCAAAGGACTGTATCTCATGCGTTCACAGACAATGCGCCTCAACTCAAAGTTTAGACAGAACTCTATCTATATAGCTCATGACAAGATACCTGTAGTTTTGCAAATAACCACTATATCTTTACTAACTGAGTGTAAGATATTTGATCGACTCTCAAATAAAGGACGAACTAGTAGAACTGTTGGGGTAGCTGTCGCATTGGATTGAGGTCAAGCCAATAACTCGCATAACGTCACATACCGCTCTTCAGGTATCAATACACAAAAAGGACATGCGTGTGTCGAATCAAGCCAGTCTACTTTCGTATTCTGGTACATACTGGAGCTGATAGATACACAAATAAGAAATTCGATTCTCTACTGCATTTACAAACGAAACTAAGAATTGCTTAACAGAGTTTTGCCGATATTAACGTTCTCTTCTATATGAATTTGTAACGTGGCACTGGTTACTCCGTACTGGAACGCCAGTACGGAGTTAACTCTCACTATAATAGTGAAGGTCATTGCCCTGCTAGGTATACACACTATACAGAGAAACGGTAAACAACTAAGGCAAGTCTCTAGTTGTAGAAAAAGTAAAACTCTTATTCAACGATAATCAAGTCCAATATCTCATATTCTCTGTTTGACCCAACTTAATTTTATTTATATACCTAAACGTATGATGACGTCCAGTCACTCCCCATTGCGCGCGTCTAGCAGCGATTAGTGGGTTGATATAAACACAATATCAACCAATGAGTAGACCTTATGGTTATCTCAACAATATCTCTATTATTAGCGATATTGTTCAAATAATATCATAGCAATATATCCTTCATTACCATTATCACGATGGTAATTTCATGTAATGGGCTACCCCGTTACAGAATTGACATCATATTGAAGTCTCTGTCTGTGACGTACCGACAAAATAGAGGAAAAAGAGGCGCGTCCCACGTTTTATGGGTCAACCCAACTAAACTTCATAACCAGGGCACAAACTAGTCTTTTTGCTGAATCATAACATGTGCGTATTTGTTTGTGTAAAATTAGTCTGCGCGTAAGCACGTTTATCTTTCTACAAGACTGTCGTTTTCCAACGTGAATATACCTAATTATCTGATTAGTACGCTAACGGGATGTCTTAGGTCGACACATGTACGAGTGATATGGCGGGAAGTATTGTATTACCTGAGCTTCTATGATAGCATAGCGTCTGAATCTCAAGCTGAAGCTACGGAAAATAGCACTTCGCGATTCTTCAGCATACACGGTCATATGCACACAAGCATCAGACCTGACCAACTTCTAAACATCAGCGATTATGCTGCGTATGTATTTACAAACAAAAAATCGGCGTCCGAAGTGGGCTAGCTTGTAGCAAGTGAACAATCTTAGCGGCTCTACTCGATGCGGTACAAAGAATGAAGGGACGTCCTTTTTCTGACCAGGAAGGTGTACTCACGATTGCATGGCTACTGCCTGTGAGGCAAAAAACGATGTGACTTAGATTGTAGCGGCTATACTTTGTTCGATAGCTGCAATCATAAGTACCGTGTGATACTGCATATATGAACGGTCGATTCAGTCAACGCTGCATTACATCAGTACGCCCGATGCGATAATGTCACGATAAGCCGGTGGTCGTCGAATGTAAACCGTCAAGCAAACTAGGCTGGACGGTGACAAGCTGTCCATATGCTGTTCGTCCCTTCAATCGACGACGTAGTGGCTGCATGAAGTTTTTAACGCTGGGGTGATGGCTTTTTATTATTACGAATGACTCTATATCTTCATCAACGGTTCATGAAAAAGCATCTGACTACGAAAAGTTGCCTATGTAACTACCGCTCTACACGCGTAGAGAAGCCGATACATTTGCGGTGTAAATACGTAGAAAGGATGCGATGGGTAGGTGTAGCAAAGTGTTGAGTCGTATATAAGGCAATGGATACGTGCACATATGGCTCGGCGTTACCACCCAGCAAGCATTCCGCAGACTGTCGTCTTCTTCAGCACCCTCCAACTATTTTCAGACATCTGGTACCGTCAAAAATACCGAGCAAGTTGATCACTAGTGACCAGGCCAATGCAAACGTACAGTAAGCAATGGTCATTGCAGCAAACATCTTGTTGCGTTGGCCACTGCGTTTCAGTGCTTGAGCCTGCTTCTTTTGTCTCGGTAGGAGAACAAGGAACAGCAGTGAGATCACCTTGCACGCGTATGCAATAAGCACAACAATCGTGACGTCTCGGCGAGTGACTTCAGAGTCGTTCAGGATATCTTGATTGTTAACGGCAAACGTTTCATCGATAGCCTTGGTGAGCGTCGACGAAAATGGATTGCTTAGGTTACCGACCGTCGTCAAAAGTCCGTAGATGGCAGCTTCATTGCCCTTGTCAGCTAGTTCAACGACAACGAAGCTTGAAACAATGAAGTTTATGCTTGACGGTATAGTTTCCACAATCGGCAGACCGAGCCAGAACCACTGGTTGCGCACGACATTCCACGTTGTGAGCATCACACACACTGCATCAAGTGCGACCACGCACAAAGTGGTGATGACAATAACAACCCGCCAGTCCCAGTTTAGTCCGTAGCGACCCATGGACGTTAGTGTACAAGCTGTTACACCTGAAGCAATAACCTGCGAGACCGAGATGTTGAAACTCGATGCACGGGCCCAATACATCGTAACTGGGTCGGATGCTACGTAGGTAATGCCACCGAGTACACCAGAAAAGAAATTGTACGCGATGACTTGGTACACTGCTCGGCTCTGCATTGTACCCCACAGATCACCCATGTATTTGCGCAGCTCCGGACATCCCACCCGTTCCTCGGAGACGAAAGACCAAGTCAATGGAAGCACCGGTACGCAGCACAACGCCAGTACGAGCGAACACACAGGAAAGCTGATACCGAAAGCGAAGTCTCCTCCATAGGGTGGCGAACTGAGTCCAAAGCCCACGAGTAGGCTACCAAAGATGTTGAAAATGGATCTCACTGTGTATATTGCGGTCTGAGTTCGACCTCGTGTTGCGATAGGCTCGCGCTGGGCGTACTCGACAACGACACCATCCGCTGCCACATCTGCGACTACATAGCCGAGTGTTGCCAGCATCATCAGTACGACGTAGTTTCCTCCTGAAGCAGGGGCGTGATGATTGATTGCCGATGCTTCCTCCTCTGTGTACTCATTGGGCTTCAATTCTCGCCACGAAGCCTCTGGGAAGTAGGGTTTCTCCAATGGAAGTGTTGCCATGGTGGCGAGGCAGAGCGAGCAAAGCACCCAGCCAATGACCATGTATGGCCGACGACGAAAGCCACATATGGGAAAACAGTCTGAAAGAATCCCAATGAATACTTTGAGCGACCACGGGATACCAAGCAATGCTCGAGCTGACGTCGTCGCTTGACCTTCCATGTTCAGATAGTAGCTTAAGAATGGCGTAATTGCGGCTGGAAGCGCTCCCATCATGAGCCCGACTGCAGCATACTGTGCTAGTAGGCCAAGTGATTGTATCGATAGGAGATTTGGGGGGGCTCCCATTCGTAAAGCTCCTCCATTCTGACGCTCCTCTTGGTGAAAGGTATCAGCCGAGCATACCAGATCTTGGTAGGCATCTCCATGCGAAAATTTGGTAGAGCTGAGGCAGGAACCTCGATCCGACGCCCCAACCTGTTGGAGTTGTCCAAGCATCGTCTACCGTATGGGCGTCCAGACTCGAGTGGCAAACTTATGAAATGACAGAGCGGTATTTTCATAAAAACGCAAGTGTTTTCTGTTCACGAATTTCGTTGGTGTAAGCAAAAGAGGGTTCGTCTCTCGCTGAGCAAAAGACGTGTGGGCAGCAAGCGCGTCGGCCAGTGCCATTCTGAGTACGACTGAATGCCCACGTGTTCGCTCTTGTACTTCAAATGCTAAGTCTGATTATCGAATGACTCGCGCGTTGGTCAAAACAAACAGTAAATGGATATATTTTCATCAGTCGCTTTCTTTCTTGAAAGTAATCACTGTTGATGTAGCTTTTGTCTTAGGAAACGAACATTTTGTCGTTGCCAAAAGCAAGCGCATAATGCAAAGGTTCTTCTCAACATACTAGAATAGAACATGAAACGCTTATTCCTAATCGTCAAAATGTCGTGGGACCAGCGTCGCCAACCTTTCATGCCTAAAAAATCTTTTTAGAGCCAAAAAAAAACCGACAAAGACAACTTCGCCGCTCTCGAGTTATGGCAGCAATATATGCAGCCTGTCGTCCAGAGTGATTATTGCCCGTAGGAAAGTACTTACACCCTGTCAACGTCATTTATAAGAGCTAGCTGTGAAATACATGCACTTCGTATCCAGAAATGACAAGCTCGGAACCGGCACAACAGTGTATGGTCGTAAAGCTCCCGCATGCGTCACGAGAGCCAAGTGTACCTCATCCAGAATATATCAATAAACTGTCCGCCTTGCATCTGAAATCTGACCAATGGCACGCAAGCCTATAAGGCCACGTGTGACATTACATCGCTTACGTTTATTCCACTTCGCGGGTGGCGCTTATAGTCCTACTGGCCTCTTCGCGCACAAGAAGCTTGCAGCGCTCTAACATCTATATGAAACCATCAAAATAGGCGAGATAGTCTGTACCTTGGTCTGTGTGGCTCCTTGCTTCACGTGCACTACATATGATCCGAGCGCGCCATTAGCTCTCATGAGTATTTACGCCGCATATGTTACCACTGGCCTAACATATCACTGTCAAAAATAGCTCGATCCAGTTCTCGTGATCTTCGTATGATCGAATCATAACAAACGTACCTGTCGTGACTTCATCAACGCTTGCATGTATGATGTGTGACCTCGTGGCACTCAAAAAATTATGTAACCCTTCACTAAATACGAGTAAAAAAATTATAACTACCTCGGCTTGCACGACGCAAGGGGGGTCTCATCACGTGAAGTTTGCGCTTACAACGAAATGAAAAGAATTGCTTTATTTATGTGGACTATACTCAAACGAAATTCTATACGTAGCTGCAAGCGCCTAATAGATTCGAAGGCACATGAAAATAAGCTCTGATAAAGAGCTCTTATTACAAGCACTCTAACGGCTGCTTCGATATAGTCATCTTCAGCAATTACGTAATGTGTTAGACAAGAATTGATAGTATGACTATATCGTATTATACCAACATGTGATCGTTCGGTCATCAGGTGATTAGTACCGCAAGCCATGAATTAGGCTTGCGAAAGGAATGGGACTAGTGAACGGAGTCTGTAAAATAATAAATAAACACGCGTTACGGAAACCCGAAAATACGATTAGTATACTTTAGGGAAATATATTTACAAGCTGAGGATGAAACCACGCACCAAACGAAAAAGAGTACAATTAGGGTACATCCACCTATCTCATCAATAAGGTTGTTCCGGCATTCATTTCTACATCCATGTGTCTTCATGTCGCTTCATTTTTAATTTAACAGCTTGATCACAAACCTTGTGACTTTCCACTCGGCAGTCACTTTGCGAGATAACACAAGTACGTTGCCAGTTTAACATGTTTATCTACAATGCTGTCCATGTATCTTCTGTAAGTCCACGTTGCTTTATTTTGATTTATCGAGCTATATCTATCCTGTATAATATCCAAGCTAGCTCTCACCTATGGTTGTATTTCTAAGTTTAGCATTGACGAAAAAGAAGAGTGTGGAACTTTTGCATCATGACGATGTGCTAGTATTAAGATATGATCCAAGCCAGCATATGATAATCATGTTTGATCTCTCCATGGGGGTAAATGTAGAAATGACAGGAACTTGAGGTTCTGTTGTATTTTTTATGCAGATATTTGTAGAGACACAACGGGGTTAGCCTCTTATATAATACTATCATCTACTATATTAACGATGACTGAGAACATTAAGTCTAATATTCTCACTACAATCTTCACTAAAATCAGTGAAATTATTGCTGTGACCCAAGGGTCTACTCATTGGTTGGTATAGATATATATCAACCCACCAATCGCTGCTAGACGCGCGCAATGGGTGGTGAGTAGACGTCACTTTACATACTTTGGTAGTAACATAGTTACGCTAGGACTAATAGAACAAGACACAATTTAGAACCTTATTATAATAACATAGTTTTCCTTTTCTGTCACCAAGCTCCTGTGTTTAGTACTAAGCCTTCGTCTTCAGCGTATACTGTACGCAAACTAAAGGGAACTAGTTCTCACTGCAGTCATTGAGATCTCGCTACGCACTGTTGTCAGTGAGTAGCACCCAGTGCTCCGTTACGGGTGACGTCGATAGTCGAGGCCGTCACACTAGGCGCAAACCTTTTGGTGAATACACATATGATATTGTAGGCTGTCGACACGGCTAGCGGCGTCTACTTGTGGATTATGATATACAGCTATATGGGGCCGCACATTCACTACTAAGTCTACAATGACTTTGACCGATTCAAATAAATGTTTCGGTTCCAAACCACACTCGAACGCCGACTATTATTTGAAATACCTTTGTTTCTTTAAAAACATAATCAATCTGCGAAAATCCGATTTTTCGTATATACTTTGTTTCGGTCGCCTGAGCGATAAAGGATAAAAAAAGGTGCAAGCACAGCGCTCAGAAGCAAAATAAATATGAAAAAGGTGGTATTTAGGAATATAATGCGTTCGTAACGATATTCGAAGTGATAGTCTTGCCGGATTGGCGCACATCACTGACCAATTGATGCGGTAACTACATCGATTAGGCTCAAAGTAAGTATGGAGATCGTGTTGGGTTAGATATGTTTTCTTTTAGCTTGCCGAATGATTCCATATCGCTGTAAAAAGTTTACGACATCTTACGCACAAGCGTAGAAAACCTTTTTAATCAGTCCAACCTAAATATACTGTAGAACGTTCTGATATGGGCAATGCGAGCTTCTTGATATTGTAAGATGGCTAATATGCCGAAAAAACGTATATATAAAAGTCTAGTGGACGATAAATAATCGATTTATAAAACAAGTCAAAGATCGAACGTAACAGAAAAACTACAGTACCTGTAGTTCCAAAATTTCTCCGCACTCCTTTTGTCGCATATAATGTATCTATGTTTTCATTTAAGACCACTCAAGTGTATATGCGGGTGTACTATAAATTTTGTCTTTAGTGCTTTCTCGTGATTATTTTATGCATTATGATACCCGAATATATAAAAAAGGAAGCTCACTTATTTTTGTGGTTAACTTGCATAGGTTAAATCCAAATATAAAGAAGAAACGCATTTACAATACGAACCAGACCCATGCAAAATATTACACCATGACCACTTTTTTCCATGCTACTGAGAAGTCACACGCACTCAACGCCAATTTATATGCTGGGCACATGATCAAATTGTCATTCTCCCACTATTGTGTGCCTATTTTGTCCAGCTTTTATGGCGGTGTGGTATTGCTGCACAATATCTCGATGAATTTATTCAACTCAAAGGTTGGAGAACTTGCCAATCGTGGCGTTTGTAGCGCGTTTGAAACCAGATTATGCAGAAGTTAATCGGCCCAGACGTGCGTGGGATTGGAGTACGTAAAAACATGGTTCAACCTGCTACCACACGCTAGCCCATGACTGACTGGACCAAGATCCCGAACTTATATAATATAATATATCTGCGCCTACATCAAAGATAGTTGCCTGTTCTGTAGTTTCCACATATACTATCGAAGATACAAAAAAGGTGACTCGAAGTAATCTAGAGGTAGCCAACGATCTGTAGCCAGTTTAAGTTAGCATTGGCAGCTGTGCATTTGCAATCACTACTATATTATGACGTTTCCTATCCCGAAAGTTTGGGAATACGAGCACTCGCAAATTGACCACAAAGAACTTCATCAAAAAAAATATTGCAAAATAGGACCAGATAAATGGTGAGAACATTACAATTGTGTCAGCGGTCGAAATCCGTTGATTAGGACCGAAATAATCAACTTTCTATGTAACACTCACACCCTAGCCATTCTACATTTGCAAAGGTCATCGATCAAATGCATCTTTCCTTTTAGATTTTGACGTTATCCATATGTTTGACACGCACAATACAACTTTTTGCTTTGTGCTGTTCTTAGACAAGTTTTCATCAATGTCTAACCATTAAAGATATATATGCAGCAAATTTTGCGAACAAAACTCTACCAAGAAAGTGAAATATACATAACATCCATCCTTGTGATCTATTTTGGTAAGTATGCCGATTATTCACTCATTTTACTAGGGTTATAACCCGTGCTTGCATAACTGTTTGCTTTTGCTGAAC